TATACCTTAATTAATTTACCAGTTGTATATTAACCAATCTTATATAATCAAAATTTTGAACCAGTAATTTTATTTCAATTTATGTAAAAGCGTTAGATACTCCCGATCCAATAATAAGAGTAATAATTTTTTTTAAGAAACAATAACCAGTCAATGAAATATTATTCATAATAGTCATAACATATACACATATAGTTAATTGTCTTACATAAAATATCTCATGCATCACACGAATGTAAATACGAATCTATGACTCCTATCTATATAATTAAAAAATAAGTTTGAAAAAAAAAATCATCCTTGTGTCACTCCATCACATCGAATATTTTTTATTAGTATCAGTATATATATCTTCATTAATTATGACACTTTACATATTCTATTATTCTCTTTCCACATCTATCTTATTAATTTGCCGTAATTATTAATATAATACTCTTTATCTTATTCATTTACCATAATTAATACTCTGTAATTACTCTAAATGATCGTGCCAAAATAAAAATAGGTATGAAAAAATGAAAATAAAGAGACAAAGAAAGTAACGTTTAAACTAATCAAGCCCACCTAATTATTCGACCATTTGTCTTCTATTACATACATTAGCAAAGCCGCAAAGGGTGGCTAGGGTTTTCCCACTCACTAATCTCTTCCTCTCTATATAAACCCACCACTTCCTACTAATTTTTTTATAACATCATCATTTTAACTTTATATTATTTCTCTCTAGTAAGAGAGCATCATTATATTATTTCTTTCAAAGAGAATAATTAGTTTGTTGTTAAATAAATAAAATATATATACTCTCTCCATCTTTAAAAGTAGTATTCGAGAGAATACTAGGTGAGATAAGAATGGTAGGTGGGAGCTCCTTTTGGTCCAAAAACAGGAAAGAAAGAGAAAGGTAGAAACATCTGCTAGTTCATGGATAACCTATGGAGTTGATTACACTTGATTACTTGGGTCAACTCCAATGGCTTTGCATGACCTTGGAGATGTTCTTTTGCCTTCTCCTTTTCTTATTTGGATTGAAGGGAGCTCCTTTTATCCATATTTTAATTATATGATTCATCATTAATTTTTTTTATTAATTTCTTACAAGGTTATTGGCTTAATTTTTACAATTTTATAAGAAAATAAATGTTGGATCTCATCTAGACATTTTTCTTATAATTATTTTATCATTTTTAGTTTTTTTATATATACATATATAATTGCATGATTTTTAATTTAATGGTTAATTGGTATGTTTGTGTAGGTTTTTCTACCCTTAATTTAATTTCAGGTTGTGGGATTTTGGAGGTACTACGTATGGTCAAGCTTGTGGATTCAAGAATGAAGAGCTTAAAGGCCACCCTAGTTTTCTTATTGATTTTTTAATTATATCGCCAGTAAATACTTCGTATTATTGTAGATGGAATAATGTGTATTTGTTCAATAAAATGAATAAGATGAACGGTTCATTGAATTAATTATTTGATTTTTACATTCAATTGTCAATGATCTCTTTACATTTCAGACGTTTTCTTAATGATAATCCTTGTATGGTATATAAATATTGAACGTTGTCGATGTTATTTAACTAGAACTTTTTTTTTTTTTTTAAAAACCAACTAGAACATTTGTATGTTCTCAACAAACGTAATTTATTTTATGTACTCCGATTGATGTAATAGAAAAAATAATTATTGATAATATCATGGATGTAATGGAATGATTGGAATCTTTATGAGTAAATTGAAAATGAAAGGGATTAAATGAGATAATAATTGTAGATGGACAGTAGATGTCAGAAGGGGAAATGAAAATACGGAATATTTTGGGGGAATAAAATCCAGATTTCAAGGCTAATTTAGACAGGAGGAGAATCAAGGATGCTTTGGATAGAATGCTTTCGACACTAGACAATCTTTGCATGTATGGTAACTTGGTGGGTTAATTTTTTATATGTTCATAATTGGAGGGTAAATCAGTACTCCGTACGAAGTATACGTTTGTAAGAATATTGAATAATGAATACGGTATATATCATCATTTTCACTATTAGGTTGTTTTTTACTACGTAATTGTCAAAAAATTCTAGAATATATTAAATATTTTTTCAATATTTTAAATGTGGTTTATCATGGAAAATAGTAAATCCTTGTAAAAATTTACGTATGTTTTATAAAAATGATACGGATTATGGAGTACTCTATACACCGTAATAAATTTTGTAATACTCCGTACAAAAACATTTTAGATAGTGTTTGATTACTTTACTTGCAATATTTGGGCTTGTGTTATATTTTGTTGTGAGGAGTATACACCCAATAACGTGTGGTTGTGAAGTATTTTAGCGTACATGGGAGAGTATATATTTATCCAACCAAGTACATTTAATTGTATAGTGATATATATATGGCATTCTACCATATGGTTTGCTAAAAGTATCCTGCATTATATATGTAGGTGGTATAAATAGTATATCGAATTTTGTAAAAGTAGTCATATAGGGAATGTTATACTTAAAACATACATCATATACTAGTGCTACTTCGTACATGACTATGTTATAGTGATATAGTCAACATATATTAGTGTTACTTCGTACATAACAAGCTTTAGGTTGGCTTGACTATTCAATAGGCTAACTTGACGGCTCACTCTCGGACATCAAATGCATGGTAGAAGACCTTGAAGTTAATTATGTGATGGTCCACGTTGTGTGCATGGGTCACATCTTTGGTTCTTGAGGAAAGATTCAACCCAAACAAACAAGGTAAAAAGGTCGAGCATGGCCTAAAAAAATAGGTCACACACACTATTAGGAGTGTATAACCTAACACGACATGACGTACACTAGAAACTTAATTCAGTCTTGACACAAATCATATGCTGATCATGCATTGTTTTTCGTTGGCAGCTTGGTAAGTTGGTCAATATGTTGAACACATAGGGGGGGGGGGGGGGGGAAATCAAAATATGTAAAACTCAATTCCGACTTGTAATTAGATGATTTGAAACTTGACTGTACCAAACTAGCATCATATGACTAGAGGGTGTGTGAAATTGATTTAGGCCCTATTTTTTCGAGCTAGTTTGTTCTGCTGAAATTTGCTCTGTTCTGCTTCGCTGACTCAATCTGCTCTACTTGCCCAAAAACTCAAAAGAATTGGGTCTTGTACATTCATAATAAGCTACTTTGTACAGTATAAACTAATTACTATTACAAACGTATACTAAAGAAGTACTCAATTTGAATTGATTTAATCTAAATTTTACCCGAATCGAACAACACTTACCTGACTATGTCCCAATCCGAATCAAAAGACCAGATTACCATCTCATGTATGACATGTGTCACTGATAGAGTATAAAACATATTCGTTAACATGGTATCGTAGCCAACGTGACACAAAAGTCACAGGTTCAAATCCACCCCCATGCACTGGGTATGTGGAGGACTCATGCTGCATCCACACTTCAAGCCCAAAAGACTCTCGTGTGAGGAGGCGTGATAGAGTATAAAACATATTTCCGAGCTTCAACCATAAGTTTCAGTTTAGATCTCATTTTTGTGCCATGCTTGGTAGCCAAGTTTATCTTTGGGCTAACCCAACAATTTTTTTTTAAGGTAAGGAGAAAGATTATTGTACCTTAACCCTCACAGTTTTTATTTATTTATTTATTTTATTCGATATTTGTGGTTCAGACACTTTGAGCGTAATGGGGGAAGGTAGACCTGTTCACCGATCGGATATCCAATCCGAAAAATGTGATTTTGAATCGGATATCCGAATACTCGGATATCAGATTCAATTATCAGAAATTGATATCCAAATCCGATTTGAAAATTTTGGATATTTGATATTCGGATATCCAAATTTTTTTTCAGATTGGATGCTTCGGATATCCATTATCCAATATTAAGTAAAATTGATTATGATTACTTTCTAAATTTCACTAATTTTACGGCTAAGTTGTACAACATATTTTAACAAAATAGTAGTCCTTTTGCAATAAATATTATCATCAAATATATTAAGAATATTATAATAAGTTAATAATACAAGTCAGTTTTATACAAAAATTTAAAATTTTTATATATATTTCACTATTTTAGGCTTTATATTTCGGATATCAGATATCCGAAAATTTGAAAATCAATATCCAAATCCGCATCCGATCCGAAATGAAATTTGGATCGGATATCCAAAAATTCGGATCGGATTATCGGATTTCTGATATCCGAAATATGGGACCCTGACCCTCAAAGTGTCTCTAGTGAAAATTAAACCCCAAATCTCAATATTGAAAGGTAATCCTTACCACTAAACCAAGCTTAGTTTGGTACTTGGGCTAACCTAACTACCCAAACCAGTTCTATTTCTAGTCCATTTCCTATACCGCTATACATAAGAAAAAGTTATACCGTACATACTTCGTATTTCGCCTTACAAATTAACGCGGTAATTCTCGTAAAAAAAAGCAGTAATTGATTTTTCCCCTAAAACACGTTATTAAATTTGACATATACCAGAGTCAAAAGTGTCAAACCACCTCCCATTCTCATTCTACTCAAACCACAGACCAATTATCTGCAGCCACGTAGTGAATCTCCTGCGCTGTCATCTCTTAAAATTTAAACAACTAGTAACTTTAACCTTCCTACTCAGCTTAAATTAAAATGTTGTTAATCTTAGGTGCACAACTACCCCTCAATTATTTATTTTTAGGTTGAACACTTCATTTTCTTCTCCTCATCTTCCTACTCTTAATTAAATTATTATAAAAAAGAAAAATCCATTTTTTTTTTAATTTTTACGAAATATTGTAAGAAATTGGACAGAGTTTAGAAGAGAGGAGACAGAAGAAGATAGATAGACAAGAATCTTCTTCTTCTTCCTTTTCTTCTACCTCTCAAAAAAAAAAAAAAAAAATCAATTAAAAACCTAGCCCTTTAGGGTTTTTACAGGAATTCAAAATTTGAAAAATCCCAGAAAAATTGGTGCAGAAAAATGAAGAATATGAACAGGGATTTGTTCGATCCAAGAACGGTGATGGAATCAGAATATGATAGGTCACCGAAAGAGGGGAATTTTGGGTTTGCTTTTAATGATAGCAATTTTTCGGACCGTGTTCTTCGGATCGAGGTTATGGCCGGACCCTCCGATTCTAAATCCGACGCTGATGGTTGTTGTAGTCTCTTTGATTGGGCTCGTCATCGCAAGCGTAGGCGTGAGGATTTTAAGAAGGATGTTCTCATTGATAATCATAACATTGATGGTATGATTTTTTCAGATTTTTTTTTCAATTTGTTGCTTTGGAATTGAACTGGGTTTTGATGAAATTGGTTGTTCATTTGATTTTTGTGTACGTTAGGTGTAATGATTTTCGGGTCCTTTTTGATTTGGTGGAGATGAAATTGGGTGAATTAGAGTGGTTATTGATTTACAAAACAATTGCATGAATAATGAATGAAATTAACAGAAATGAGGGAAGAATTTGAGTGTTTTTGGAAGGATGAGGCTTGAATTTGATTTATGGAGAAGCATTGTTAAGATTATGAAGTGGGAAGTTTACATAAGCTGCTACTTAGTCCGCGGTTTGCTCATATGTTGAATTTCTCTTTAATTGGCGTGGGTAACTGGAAATTGCTCTTGTTTCGGGTGCGAAATGTTTAATTGACTGAAGGGCTGAGGAATTTAGGTTCCGCGTATTAGTAATGTGCAGCCCCTTTTGAATGTAGTTTCGTCCTTGTTCTGGAAATGCTGACATTGTATTTGTGTTTTGTCTTGCAAGTATGAAATGCTGTTCCGTATCTTCCAATTTACGCAGTTAATCATCATTTAACCTGTACGTGTGTTTGTTGCCCCCCTGTGTATGAGATTATTGTGGCAAAGGGCTTCTCATATTTACAATGTGTGTGCTTTAGTTAAATTTACTTTAAGGAATATTGAAAATAAAGAGAATTGAGTAAGGATCATAGGTTGGGAATGCTTGTGGTAGTTTTCTTCTGTATATCTAGCTGAACCTTGTTCAAAAAACCTTTATTAAGAACGGACCTTGACAGTGTATAACAATTGATGGATTAGTGCTTTTAGTTTTGTGAATTGTATGCTCGGCTTCATGTGCTCAACTAAGGGTATCTATGTGATCATTGTTAACTTATTAATCTCATCAGGTACAGAAGTTACTGTGTGTCCTGAGGAGCAGGTTTTGAATCAATATGATGGCGATGATGTTTTAGCATGTGAAAATGATGATGAGGAAGCTGTTGTGATGGTTGAAGAAGTACCTTCAGGTGGTTGAATATTTCAACTCTTATTTGCACAATTTCAGCTCTGAATTTAAATTCATTTTCAAATTTAGTTTACTATACTGCTGATCTTTTTAAAGATGTTTGATTTCTATATCCGAGGAGAATTGCAGATTTGTTTGCATCAAGATCAAATATTGTCTTGTCAGTACTGATGAAAAGTATTGATTATAAAACTGCTGGCTTCGTGATTAGTTCTCGAGCATCTATACATCTTGTTCTTCTTTTTCTGAAGTCTCCATTAGACTCTGAATTGTAGACACCTGAATACCTGATAAATGTATGTTTAGTGTAGATACAATCGATGAAGTTGTTATCACCCTTTGAACGAGCACTTGAACCATAAACATAATAACATGAAAGATATGTTGGTGTTGCCATTATATAATGATCAACTATTCCAATAGCAACGGTCTTAATTGTTGTTTTATCATTGTACTGCTTTTCTTATGAGAACCAAATTAAATGCGGTGGAAGGAATTTTCCCATTTGATCCTTATTTTTACCGTGCTCTAGGAACTTTAATAAGATCTTCTTGCACAATTCCTTTCATCCAAGGTCCACAAACTTGCCTCTGGGGGAAGGAGCTGAAGCTGTAACTCAGTTCCTAGAATGTTAATCTTTCTGAAAAACCTATATTTAATTAGACATCATACTTTTTTTTTGGCCCTATCCTCAGTGTAGGTTGTTATATTCATAGTTTCCTTTTGTGACTGTAGGAGATGAAGGGGCCAATAGCAATGATTCATCGTGGAGCATGGAATGTTCAACAATTGTGAGCGTGCAAACCTTGCATATCAGTTCTCCTATCTTAGCAGCCAAAAGTCCTTTTTTCTACAAGGTAGCTTAAACTTTCTCCTTTACTAGGCACACCCCATCAAATCTACTTATACAAGTTCTAGTTGGTGATACTTATATTTCTTATTGTTTACTTTGGTGCAGCTATTCTCGAATGGTATGAGGGAGTCTGAACAGAGGCATGTGACTTTACGCATTAATGCATCCGGTATGCTCTTAAACTTTACTTGCTGATTTATTATCCAGCTCCTTTTAAGTTTTGTTTAGATACTTGTCAGTGACATCTTCTTTACCCATCCTCTGTGAGAAACTGGTCGGCTGGCCATCTTGCTTTGAAGTGAAAGATTTTGATTTTGATTTTCTTTTTTTTTTTTTTTTTATGGCAGAGGAAGCTGCTCTAATGGAGCTTCTGAACTTCATGTACAGCAACACCTTGTCTGCAAATACAGCCCCAGCTTTGCTTGACGTATTAATGGCTGCGGATAAATTTGAGGTCGCTTCGTGTATGAGATATTGTAGTCGTTTGTTGCGGAATTTGCCTATGACCCCCGAGTCTGCTCTACTTTATCTTGAGCTTCCGTCCAGTGTTTTAATGGCCGAGGCAGTTCAGCCATTGACCGATGCAGTAAAGCAATACCTTGCTGATCGTTACAAGGATATTTCCAAGTATGTTTTTTTCTCGCTTCCGTAGAATGTAGAATCTAGGCTTCACTGTTCAGCACCAAATAAGAGCTCCGTTATTGCTGTAATTCCAAATATGTTATTTCCTTTTTTATTTTGAGCATGCCTTTCTTGCATGAGTAATTACTTCTTTTTTTTTTTTTTTTGATGAAATGTCTTAATGTGAGTTTTATTCTTTGAAGGTTCCAAGAAGAGGTCATGGCTTTACCCATTGCTGGAATTGAGGCTATTCTTTGCAGTGATGATCTTCAGGTGGCATCTGAGGACGCAGTTTATGACTTTGTCTTGAAGTGGGCCAGGGCTCAATTCCCTAAACTAGAAGAGCGCCGCGAAATTTTGGCCACCCGTCTTGGTCGATTCATTCGCTTTCCATACATGACCTGCCGGAAATTGAGAAAGGTTCTAAGCTGTCCAGACTTTGATCATGAGGTGTCATCAAAGCTTGTTCTTGAGGCACTCTTCTTCAAGGCTGAGGCTCCACATCGGCAACGAATATTGGCTGCAGAAGAATCAGCTTCCACAAACCGTCGCTTTTTGGAACGTGCTTACAAGTATCGCCCTGTTAAGGTGGTTGAGTTTGAACTTCCCGGCCAGCAGTGTGTTGTGTACTTGGATTTGAAGAGGGAGGAGTGTGCAAATCTATTCCCATCTGGTCGAGTATATTCTCAAGCGTTTCATTTAGGTGGGCAAGGATTCTTCCTTTCAGCCCATTGCAACATGGATCAGCAGAGCTCTTTTCATTGCTTTGGGTTGTTCCTGGGAATGCAGGAGAAAGGGTCAGTAACATTTGCAGTTGCCTACGAGTTTGCTGCAAGGTCGAAGCCCACAGAAGACTTTCAGAGCAAATACAAAGGAAACTACACATTCATGGGGGGTAAAGCAGTTGGTTACAGAAATCTGTTTGGGATTCCATGGACCTCGTTTATGGCAGACGATAGCCTTTATTTCATCAATGGCATCCTGCATCTTAGAGCTGAGCTCACCATTAGGCATTGACTTGAATTTGTGTCTTCCTCAGAAAACTTTTGGCAATCTTTGCTATCCTTGAAAACTTTTGTGTTATTGTAACTTTCCCGTTCTTAGGGCTTCACAGGAACCATACATTTTAGGGCAATATAGAAGAGCTAACATGTAACTTATCGTTTAGTATGTGAGAGATCAAAATTAATAGGATCTCACAATGTTGTCCTTGCCGATAGACCTGTAAAGCAGAGGGACTCAATGTAAATGTGCTTGAGATGTTGTATTAACCACCAACTTGTTCTGCTGCTCCAGTATGGGGTTACTCATTCTTCATTTCTACATGAAATGCCTATAAAGTATGAATGCCTTGCCTTATTCTTAGTTTACGGAGGATTATATGGCATATACGATAAAGTCGATAATATAGCATTCTAATCTGTTACCACTTGTCGATGCTGTTGCTCTTAGTTAAGTTGTTTGAAAATAACAGAAATAGAAATTTTATTTCAAAATCCTCGTCTAATTCTCCTGGAAATTGGGCTACTCTAGGCACAAGATTCAACTGTATGCAGTATGGTTTCGTAAGGTCCTAGGCTCAAGTATACTATAATTGATGGAAGTTCTATTTCCTTTGAATTGAAGGCTTATCTTCCATACGAGTACTTATCATAATATTCGAGAAGAGAAGTGTATTTTACACTCAAGTACTGATTGCTTATGCTTACCACCTTTCTAGCATTGTCGTTCGGAATTGATTCTTTATCAATGGTCACCCTTTTATGAGCCTTGTCACTTTCAAACATAAAGAGTTACCGTATGTTCTATTCGCCTAATTTTCACTTATATAGATAAACTCAATTAAACTTATCAGAATTTGTTATTGTACATAGTATTTAAACTTTACATTTCATTATGAGTAATTTACTAATTTTTAAATTATATATTAAATTAACTGTATTAAAAATGTATCATATTCACTTAATTTTTACTTGTATACTTGATTAGAACGTATTTTAGTTGTAAAAAAAAAAAAAAAAACTTATTTAACCCTTATAAAAGCTTATTTGAACTTATTGTTTTCCTAACTTATTAATCTGACTTAATTTTTAAGTGAAAATAAGGTAAAATAAACCGGACTTAAGTATTCATAGATCCGGAATCTGATTGGACCCAAAAGCCCACAAACGAAACCGCCATTCACTAGCCCATTGAAAAAAGCATAACCGAGTAACCAACTAACCGATCCAAGCTGAGATACTCCACTCCGTGGCCTCCACGCTATCTATATAAAGCCCCAAATTTCCTATTTCAACACAAATTAAAAAAACAATATAAGTAAGAATAAAATCGACCTCATCTACTATTATTATTTCTATTCTGAATTCCGAATTGAAAGAAAGAAGAAAAAGGGGAAGGAAAACCTAGAAACACCCAAATCAATCAGAACCGTCCATTCTAGGGTTTGCTGTTAGAGAGAGAAAGCGAAAGAGAAGAGAGAGAAAGAGTCGAAGATGCCGAAGAACAAGGGAAAGGGAGGAAAGAACAGGAAGAGAGGTAAGAATGAAGCTGATGATGAAAAGAGAGAACTTGTATTCAAAGAAGATGGACAAGAATACGCTCAAGTTCTTCGTATGCTTGGTAATGGCCGATGTGAAGCTATGTGTATTGATAATGCTAAGCGTCTTTGTCATATTCGTGGTAAGATGCATAAGAAAGTCTGGATCGCTGCTGGTGATATCATCCTCGTTGGTCTCCGCGATTATCAGGTTTTTACTTCTTTTTTCTTCGATTAATTGATTTTTTTTTTTTTTTTTTGTGGCTAGGGTTTGTTGTTGTTGTTGTTTTTGAATTGATTGATTTTCTGCTGTGGTTTTGAATTTTGATTGGATTTAAGAATTTGAAAGAGAAGACGAAATTGTGTTTGAATTTTTTTTTTAAATTTTATTACGAGCTAGATTATTGTTGAATTTTAACGTATTTTATGCTTTGATTTATATATCTGTTCGTTATGATATAAATTTATTAACCTATAGAGGTGAAATACTGGAAAATAAGAAAGCTTTTGCCAATTTAACACGGAATTAGCTGTGTTTATGGTATAATTCAATCCATTGAACGGTAGTCTGCTTGTAATTGACGATGATTGTGTTAGTATTAGATTAGTATGTAATCTTCTATTCAATAATTGAGGCAAAAAGAGGATTATTTTAATTGTGTTTTATGGCCATCAATATTGACTATGTTAATGAGTGCTTTTATGTAATTAGTCATACTTTTGAGGTTAAATTGGTTGTGCAATTGAGACTAAACTCTGTTTTTGATTGTATATTCGTTGCAATGACCATCAATACTGACTAGAGTGCTGATGTAGAGTTTTGTCTGGCTTTGATGCAAGTAATCATACATATGAGAAATTGCGAATGAATTGGTTGATTGCTCGGTTGTGTAATTGAGACTAAACATGGTTATTGATTGTGTTTTTGTCGCAATGACTGGAGTGTAGATGTGTAGTTAGTTCTGTCTGCTTTAAGTAATACGTTGTAATACATACTTGTGAGAATGGATTGATTGTTTGCTTGGTTGTGCAATTGAGACTAAACTTTGTTTTTGTTTGTCTACATAGGATGACAAGGCCGACGTTATCCTTAAGTACATGCCCGATGAAGCCAGGTTGCTGAAGGCTTATGGTGAGTTGCCCGACAACATCAGGCTTAATGAAGGTATCAGTAATACCATGGATGAGGACGAAGAGGGTGATGGTGAAGACTACATTGAGTTTGAGGATGAAGATATTGATAAGATATGAGCAATTTAAGTTTGTTCTGCTTGAAATGCAATTTTACTTATGCCGAACCTTTATTGTCAACTACATTTTCTGAGTTTGATTATAAGAAATTGATGTACTAATCTCTTTACATGCGTGAATTACTATTCGAGTGGTAATTGTTTGATATTGAAGCTCAAGGCATTTGGTGGCTCAATAAATTCAGGCCATCTCTAAATTATCTTCCTTGTGTAGTTGTATGTATCGAAATCTTGCTCCTATCTTCAATTGATTTAAAGAATTTCTTTGCCAAGAATGTACACTTTATATGTTGAATTGAGTCAATTGACAATTAAAATACAAATTTGTATCTCTAATTTGGTATACAGGTGAAAGTGAGATGTTGAATTCAAAATGGAGGATAGTTGAGAAATAATCGGTTCTCAACGTTAGGCAAATTATGAATATTAGTATAAATAATTCGAGTCACATTGGTCATATCATCGAGTTTAGATTAACTCGATCAACACAATACGAATTTAAATAATTTGAGTCACATTGGTCATATCAACGAGTTTAGAATACAATACGAGTTTATTAACCTCGATCAACACAATGTGAGTTTTGGTTAGTGAATTTTGTCCGTAGTAAAGTAACAAGGGATTCAGTATGTTATTTGGAATCCTTGAGAGACGCTAATACAGAAAACAACTCGAAGTAGTTTGAAATTTATGTATAGGGGTATGGTTATCCGCAGTCAACAATTGCTGGCTTACTTGTACAGTTATACTTGGTGCGAAATCAAATTGTGAAATTAAATCAGTCGGTTTTGCAAAATCTCCCACAATCGCTCGAGCAGATGATTATTGTACAGAGAATGGCTGAACTAATATGTGGAGAGGGGACTGCAAAATTCAAATTAATAGGGAGTATTAGCTGAGGTACTACTTTGACAAGTAACCATCAAATGTTGTTCTTACCTCTTATAGAAAAAATAATTGAAAAATAAATAATCTTACTCTAGTATACTAGTAACAAATAAAGGCAAGGGAAACAAAGGTTTGCGATGAAAACGCAGCATGCTGAGCACCACAAAAGCTGTGTGATAGAACAATATTATCTAAATGAAAGGATGAATGGTCTATCCCTAATAAGAACCAAGTTATTCAATTTGAAACTCCGTTGTTGTAAGCCAGATACACTCTTTATGCTCGCCTCAAGCAATAGTCTGAGGCTCCATTTTGTCGGAATCTGAAATACAAAGATCTGCAAAATGTCAGTTAAAATAAAAAAGCTAGAATTTTGGAGGCATAAAATTACATTGAAAGCATTAATGTTGATAGAAATCCCGTCCAGTACAGTTTATCTTTGTTATTTTGGGTTTACATCACCTACAACTCCAGCAGTATAATGACAACTCAGCAGACTCAACTGTCCGCAACTTTACTCAAATGACTTAATCAGCATGACAAAGAAGATGGCATTAAATCTGTAGGAAGTTATTTACCCTGGAGAACAACCTACAAGTCATAACATCAGCCAATTTATAATATCACTCTGTATGACCAAACTATACATGATGATATGTCTCTTACTGACTCATGGTTCTTACCATGGACTTAAGTGTTGACCATGGTTCGAGATCAAGATGCAGCTTCACTCAAATTCCTCCCAAGTATAGGCAGTCGTCCCCACAAAAGGATAGGATCTCTGGGGCATGAGCATTCCCTAGGTCAATACCAAAGTTTTAACCTTCTACGTCATACATAGACACGTAGTTAGGACTAGCATTGAAAATCCATTTGTGGCCCTGGAATGCTTGCTTGAGAGACCAATTTTCTACAGGTGTTCTTGTACCATTTGTCAAGGACATAAAAAGTTGGATTAGGCATTATTTATGATACTAGACATCATTCAACATTTCCAACTTTCTAATGACTCAATCTTGAGATTTGTAGTGTCCCTGGAAGGTTTTTCAGACCATATATGGCCTTCACTCCCTCACCCCTTAATATAGTGTTAAACAGAGATATAGCACGAAGATGGGTGAGGGAGTGAAGGTGGATGAAAAGTATGAAGAAAAAAAGTGGGAAGGTGGGTGTGTGGCTCAAGCTTTAGAGAAACTATAGAGAGGAAAATCTCAAAATCTTAAAACTGTTGTTCAGCATAAAGATTCACAACCCTTACAAGAGTCCCAAGAATGAATGAGATTTTTAAGGGCAACCCAGGTCCAAACTATGGTTCGATTTGCCTATCATGAACCTGCCTAAAACCAGCACCTGTGGTTCCCTATCTCCTCAAACAGAGTTCTAAAAGGTTCTTTCAGTGGGACCTATGACTTTACTGGTCTTGGATCTTGTGTCATCTTCATTCTTTAAGGTCATTAGGCCAATATATTGAGACATTCTTCCTATTTCAGCTTTAAATTAAACATTGAGCATGTAAGAGTCTCTTGACAGCGAGTTTAATGTCATAATTGGGAATCCTGATGTTATTTCAGGATTGGTGTCATAAATAATAAATGAGCAATATGGTAGATCTTGGAATGCTACCAGGGGACCAGGAACCTCTAGGTTTATTCTCAGATTTTCTCCCAGGTATTCCAACCCCAAAGTAAGTTCCACAATGACCACAACATGGCTCATGACTTTAGTGACACTCAAGTAATGTTGGATAATTTGTTGACGTCCTTAGAAAACAACAATGTAATGTGATAGAAGTTCCCTCTAATTCACGGAAAAAATTGTCAGCTGCTATTTGTCTCTTGAGTATGAGGTAACCTTCAAGAGGGGATCTCAATAGGCAGGTCTTTATGACAAGGTTCACCTAAGTACTTAGAGAGTTGAGGCATAACCATTCCTACCTTAAAAGCACATGTCAAGCATAAGTATTAAAAACAACAAGTACAGTCCACTTGTGTAATCAATATCTAATGCATAGACATAAAGAAAGCATTTCATCTCGGGAACCTTTCTACAACCCTCTAATTACATAACGGAGTGCGGGATATAGTGCTGTAAATGCAGAGGAAGGTTCGCAACAGTATACACTATTTCAGTCTCTAATAACAATATTATGCAATATCACAGTTGTGTATCATCCCACTTTTAAACTGTTTCCTGTTAAACTCATAAGCTGTTTGAAATGCGTGTTAAGTATAGCTCCAGGAAAAAGGATCATCCATCTATTTTGAGGGTGTACTCAGATAAGGAGATTTGTACAATGGGTAGTGCTGTAGTGTTGATACATGAAAAGGGAGGAATGGGGTAATACTGTAATAGTTACCCATCAGGCCATTACCCTGCTAGAATAATGTATTACCCCTGTTTGAGGGTCATAAATCCCTCTTTCCCTAGCATTATAATTACATCCCTTCTACTACTATTTAATCCCATCATTCTCATCATCATTTCTTTTTTCCCTATAGTCCAAGCATGCCGTGTGAGGACAGAAAAATGGAGCCTTTAATTTCCATTCCTTACTATCACCATCTATTTTCTGAGTTTCAGAACAATTTCTTTCTTCATTTTAAGCCTAAAAGGAAAATGATGCTTGTTACATAGGTTTATGAAACTATATCTTTCCCAACTCACATTCATGGTTCAACTTCAGCTAAGTGCCTGCAAAACCTATTATTATCTCCAATATGTAGTCAGTTTGCATAACTTTACCAGTTTTAAAGTAAATATGATTTTAACATGAAGGGTAAAGTGTGATAATGAATCACTGTTTTATTAAATTAGACTTTAAGCGCAGCTTTACATCCCTGCTCATAAAAAACTTTGCTAATTTATGAAATGAAGTCTGTAAGGAGCAGCAACTACCCATTTTGGTTGCTAGAAAAAGTGAAGTACAAAGATAGCCAGACATAGTGAAAAATGCAAACAAAAGAGATCTACCATATATAATTATGGTAATATGCATAGGTTTCTAAAACATAATGCCTAAAACATATTCATCACAGATTTCAAAAACTCATTAGCTTCTTTAGTGAAAAGTTAAGTAACAAATATTTCGATAGAGCAATTCATTTCTAACCATGTATTCCAAAACTGAAGAAATTCAGTTAAGAACACACGCTCAATAACACGGAGCAGTAACGGATTACCAGCATAGCAAACTGCTTAATAAAACACAGACATTAGCTAGAATGTCCATGTCACCAGTTTGCTGTCAAAGAAATGAAAAACAGAATAAAATTTTGGTAATGTAATACCTGAACAAAAATCATCTGAGCTTTGCCTTCCCAGATGTCCTTTCAGCCGCCTCCCTAATTTTGTCAATATACCCTTCAATTGGTGGTGTCAGTGTAGCCATAAACCGATTTGCAGGGAATGGAGCCATATCAGGGACCAAAGCTGCTGCTTTCAAAGGTTCAGGCAAAGCCTCAATCGCCTCTTTCTTCAATCTCAGAAGCGTAGTCTCTGCCTTCTGCCTCGCACGATGCCTTCTCATCAAAACCCTACTATACTCTTTAGCAAGTCGACGACCATCTTCAACTGTCAGCTCATACTTTGGAATAGCATCAGCATCAACTATACCCAAGGAAATCAAATCCAAACCCGGGGTACCCATCATTGATGGCTTCTCAAAACCAGTTCCTTCTTTGGCTTGTTTCTTCAATATCTCCATCTCCCTTTGGCGCTCCTTACTAATAAGCCCTAATTTCTCACGAGCCGCCTCACGCGCCCTCTCTTTAGGCTTCAAAAACCTTATTGGAGTTGGAGAATTCAAGCACTTTTTGGCCATCTCTTCAAGTTCAGCAGCCAACCCGGACTTACGGCCCCCTCCAGTGTCTGCTACTGCTCCTTTCTTCGGCGCCTTCTTAGATTTCTTCTTCAATTCCTGCGCAGCCTTGACCTTTCCTTTACCTTTTGCAGTTCCACTCACAGAACATCGTTGCATAAATTGGTGGCTTAAGTTCCCAATAGTAGTATCAGAGCTGGTTAATCTTTTACTAACATAAACCCTAAACATCTTTCCCAACTACTATATACCCTAAGCTGAAGATATGCAATTCCTTTGATTTCAAAGGTGGGTGTTAAAGAGAGACCTGATTATACAACAAAAATTCAATTTACATCACCAAATATGATGTAAAATCTCACAAAAATTCTAACTTTCTCTATAATCTAAAATACCCACAAAGAAAATATTGTCTTCTATATACCATCCATTTCATTGAATAATTAGAAGAGGATAAAAAAAATTAAAGACGGGCATTGATAGATAAGAAAAGAGAGAAAGATAGAGCAGCTTACCTTCGTCGGCAGTAGAGCTTGAATGGTTAAACCCCAGCAAAACCTCTGCATTCACAGTCGCACCCCTTAAGCTTTCTTTCTAGAGAGACTGAAGTTGAAATTGAAGTTGAGTTTGGGAAATTCGGACTTTGGGATTGTGTTTTCGGGTTGGAACTACCCGAATTTGGTTCCGGACAACGAAATATCTGGTTTTTTTTTTTTTTTTTTTCCTTTCTAAAATAGGTGGCCTTTATATTTTCCAAAAGCAGTACTAATTCACAACTCACAAGCTATATACAAGTATAAATTTTGAGCATCTTTGTTAAGGTACAAGACATTAACGTTTAACGAGTTGAACCGAGCAACTCATAATGCGATACTAAACTTCGTAATTTTAATTTATTTTTAAAAAATTGTTTTTATTTTTCTAACACAGTTTAATTATTATTTTAAACTTATTTTAGCTTTCTATAGTGAATTTGAATTATTCTAACAAATAAACAATTGTCATTTCAATCCTCTTTCAAGACTTGAGTATGAGTTTTTGATTTTAAATAGGGCTTTAAATTTTCATACTGTCAAGTTCTCAAATGGTGTAAAACTCAAGCTCAAGTTACATTGTCCTTTCTTACAATTGTACGACATGGTTTCACTTAATCTTGCAAGCGTTAACCCATCGTCAAGAACAATTGTCCTCAATAGATTCAACTAATATTATCAAGTTTCGCAATGTGGAAGCCAGAGGGCAACATACACAGAGCAACAAAAAGCCACTTGAATTATATATAAATAGCATGTAGATTTATGATTTATCCATATCAACAACATTCCAATACTAAAACTGGAGACAGAAGCAATTGGAATACATAGTAGCTCTATGGCCTATAATACAACATGGATAGGAACCAAATCCTCTCATTTTGAATTTTGCTAGTCAGATGTAGCTACGTGTAATTCTACTCCGTTCCAGCAATTTTCTTCTTCAATGATTCGATGTCTTCTGCTAATTCCTTTCTACTAGACTGAACAAGACAAGAGAAAGGTCAGTGTCATTTAGCTTTTAGTATAATAATCAAGCAATGTGTAAGATCATCAAACGACTTTTAACAGATAAACACTGAAATCAGCTTTTATCATCCTAAAGACCTCCTCTGTTTATTACATACGAAGTAGAAAATAATCTTAAGAAAGATATGCACCGATTTTGACAGAGACAAAAATTGAATACAGCACAAGCCACAAGGGATCAAGTGATAAGTAGAGCAAAAGTTCTTTACATTAACTAAGTGCGAGAGAAGCAGGATCAAGTGATAAGGTTCATATGGGATGATGTTAACTAAAGATATTAGGCTTTTCTTTATTTTTCTTTAGCTGAACAGGGAAGAAGGGTATCGGGGTTGCAGCTGAACATTGGACATGCAAATATAGGAGAATTGCTTTCAAACAGTTCAGAAAGATGGCAAAACTAAGCAGCTCAAATTTGCTGCACAGGGAAGATTAAACAGGAACTTTACCTTGAAAAGAAGGTATCGGTAAACAAACCATCCACTGTATCCGAGCCCAACCAACTCCATGATCTTAGGAAGCTGATGATATCAAACATATAAATAATGGATCAAACATGCTTTGAAAAATGCTAATTAACAGAAAATAGTTGTCAAATTTGTTAAACAAATGAACCTTATGATTCAATTTATCTTAATAAAACCCAAAAATAAACTTAACCGTCTATACACAGAGCACCTCATATTAAGGGGACCTGAATTTTTCTTTGGTAATAATCAGCTGGATCAATAACTAGGTAAATACATGGCAGAGTTCAGCCAGCTCAAGAGAAAGCATCAGATAGAGGCACACTGTTTCTCAAATCAATCACTCTTAAAGGGAATTTTTCTTTTGGTTCGTCAAATAGAAAGGGTGCAATATAATTCAGATACTAGAGAGGGAGAATAATGTTCAAGATATATATTCGGAACGGAGATATACTTTGATGTTTGACACAATCCAAATACTGCAAAACATAATTAGGTATCAAGAAGACAGATCCAAGAAAAGGTATAGTAGAACAGAAAAGATCACATACCAGAGGGACAGAGTTGATAGCACCAACAAGAATGGAAGATATCCAAACTGCAACTAACGCCCCACCACCATATATAATTACTGTGGACTTATTCTCAAGTTTATCCCACTGCAAAAGTTAAATAAAAAACTAAGCCATGACAAAACAAAAGCAGTGGGTATCTCATTTTAGGTCGTTAGTCACACTTACCTTCTCTTTCAGGTCACTAAGTAGTTCAGTGCTATCAACTGAGGTATCTTCTGTTGAGGAAGCCTTGACCTGAAGGGAAGAAAACCTCCTTGACTCTGCAGAAATAAAACAAAACTGGCTAAGCACCAGCAAAGCGAAGAAGCAGCAAAAAAAATGCCAGACTGCCAGAGTTTAAACATTATACAACCACAACAATGAATTTAGAAACACAACTAACAAAAAGGTTCAAATTTTTAGAAATCTGTCCAATATTAACATCACTAGTTCTATTTGACCTTAGAGTCCTCACTAAGTCCCCAAGACAATGTCCAAGGGAACTCTTTACATATATTAAGGAGTTTTATAGCTTAAAAGTGAATTTTAACAAACGTTGCATTAGTATTACAGGAATAAGGAAAACTGATAGGTAGGGTATGCTTATTATCAAATGAAGAGGAAAGTAAAATAGTTATATATTGAAAATGGACACTTGCGATCGTTTAGGCGTACACCACTCATTCTAAAAATACTTTCAATCAATCAAAGCCTTAATCCCATAAGTGGGGTTATAAATTAACCACCAAAATTAACAAGAATTTTAGGGCGGCAATCATCAACGCCAGGCTCTTGGAAGTCTAAGGTCTAACGATAGTTAAATTATCAGTGGCACCAAATGTAAATTATCAAAGCCTAAACCTAGACAGTGAGCGAAAATCCTTCAGTGGTTCAACCAAGAAACCAATATAGCTTATAGATGCACCAAACATGGATAGATTAGAAAAGCAAGCAAAGGATATTTCTCAGACACACACACACACACAAAAAAAAAAAAAAAGGGGGGGGGGGGTCATGTAAGTATCAACATTCCTGACAAAAAATCAATTGCTAGACATTCCAATTCAGGAAATACACATTGCACAACTACAAGAACAAAGAACTCGGACACTAATAAGTGGAGTAGTGGACAGTGGAAAGACAATAACAAGAAAAATCATCCAGATAAAGCTCACATTGGAGGTATAATACATTGCACTAGAAAGCGTGGATGTTTACCATCCCCTGCTTCTAAGCCACATATTAATACATATTTTAGTATATTATCACTATTAGACCATCATGTTAAGTATTAGTTGATAATTATTAATTCATACAGAGTATGTTTATAGGTCCTCACCTTGAGTTCATTACTATAATTAATAATTTTTGTCACAAAAAATTCATGGCAGCGTGCAGGCTAGAGGTAAAACCACACATGTTTAAACATCCTACAGCTTGAAAATGGTAGTGGCAGCATAACAACTAAGACATTTTATAATTGTTCGTAAAAATTGCATTCGCCACCATTTTCAACAAAACTAGGCTTGGCTAAGAGACTAATTTTAGATCTTCTCAACAACGGACAATTAATAGGTAACCTCAACTAAAATTCCTTTCTATTTTTCGTTTTTGCTTCACGCACCATCGCATAAGGATGCAAGGACCCAACCCTTCTATTGATGAAGGATAACCCTATGGGCACGCCCTTTGACCAGAATTGAGATTCCCCATTTGAATCACAGCTAAGCGAACATGAAGTTCTTATATAGCTTTGAATCTCTTTACTCATGGGGATAAGGTTACAACTCATTTTGTGGTCTTGTATTAATTTCCACAAAAACCTTTCCTCAAAAAAAAAAAAAAAAAAAAAGTTTCATCTACCTTTCAATGATATAAGAGCCCTTCATTAGTTCAATAATATGGGATTTTTAAAGTCCTCAAAACTAAGGCAAGTCTAAGAAATTATTACAAATTGCCAAGCTTTCCTTATCACTCAATTCCCGCAAATAATTCTTCGATTAATTCTGGAAAAATATAGTTAATTCAAAGGAAATAAGAAGAAACACGACAAAACCGCCCAATTCTTTTCCTTTCAGGGTTGCAAAATGCAAATTACATTGTTCTACTATTAGTAACTATCTTAACAGTCAACATTTGTAGTTCAAAGACAATGACTTTGAAATTCAACTCATTCAATCGGACTAACCTTATACTTACACACTAATAATCAAACCCAAATAAACTAATACAACAACAACCATGAGTTAAAAAGGCAAAACTTGCACAAGACAGACCAGGTGTTCGACGAAATGCCGCAAAGAAAAATACCAGACAAATTGTTGGAGAAGATCCTCAACGATGAAGTAGAGGAACTGGGAGGAGGGAGATAAGGTAACGCTAAAAGGCGGGAAGAGTGGTTAGCGTGGACACGTGGAAGCAACCCAGTAGTTGCAGCCGCCATTGAAGATGAAGTTCCTGCATAAGCTGATGCTGCCATTGTATAACCTCTATCACCCAAAAAAAGCCCTTTTTCAGGCTAATTTTCTCTCTCCAGAAAAAATAAAAGGTGGGTGCTTGAAAATGGGAGAGAAAATTGTTGAATTTTGCTGAAATTTGGTTATTTGAAATTGGGGTTTTGTTCAGTTTGGTTTTCCACCATTCGTAGCATATCCATGAGATTTTTATTTATTTTTTGTTTATTGAAGAAAGTGATTTTGTTGAGTGACACGTGGAGTGATGAGGACTCCTGATTGGGTGACTCCCTATCTTAAAATCCACGTTTGACTTCTCCTTCACTTGATTAAATTACTTTCTTAAAAGTTTTTAAACAACATTCCAAAATATAAAATTTTTAGCTAAATAGTTTTGTGGGTTTGTATTGTAATATAGATTAAGTTGACAATATGTGACACCGAGGTAAAGATGTAGACGAGATTTAATTTCTATATACTTTAAAAGTCTTTAATCAACTAAAGTTAGTACCTTCAACACGTCAATATTATATACATGATTATAAATTATTATTAGGAAAAATTAGAAAATAACACCACAAATTTTACAATTATTGGATTATAACACCACAAAATCTCATACTTTTACTATAACACCACAAAAAAACACAAAAATTGGATTTCACCACCATCTAACGGTTTTTTGGATGAAATCCGTTAGAGGGATCCACCAAGTACAGGTGTCACGCATTGATTAGTTCTTTTTAAAAAAGAATAATAAAAAAAACAAAAAATTTTAAACTCTAACCCAGCGCCAACTCCATCACGACCCTACCGCCGAAAACCCAACTCCAGCCAAAAACCACCACTGCCCCCACCTTGACCACGAAACTGAGTGACCACCACCCTTACACCGGCGGCTCTACCCGTTCACCCCTTCCCCCTCCCTGAAAACAGCCCAACTTCTTCAAACCATCGCGCAAAACCACTGCGAAAAACCACCCCCTTTTGCCCCACCCTTGAAACGGCCAAATCGACCATCGAAAGTTACCATTATGGGTTTCCATGGTCGATTCCGGCCATTTTGAGGGTGAAAGGGTAAAGGAGAGGTGGTTTTTGGCCGTTAAAATTCCAGTTGTTAGGATTAATGGTGGCCGATTTTCGGTGGCTGGGTGTTTCTGTTAGATTTACAGTGAATTCAAACTAGAAAACACTTAATAAATTGTGTGGGACAAAACCTAAGTAATGTGATTACAATAACAATGTAATGTAATACAAACAAACACAACCAAGGTGTTACAATCAAGTATTAGAATATCAAAGAAATTACAGAAAATTTCTAAAAGAAACACTAATATGAAGACTTAAACACTTGCCTAAACTCCAAGCCGATCAACGCACACATGAACATGAGAATCGCAACGTCCTAGAGACTATGATCTTGATACACTGTCAAAGGCGTATGAATACTTTCCTAAAGGGATTAATTTCCCCCACACGGTGCTTGGGTTAATCTGGAAATTCTCTTTGAGATACAATTGATAGCTCTTTCCGTTCTTAGCACAAAGAATCGAAAACCGATGGATAAATCACAAAGAAGGCTAAAATCAAGAGGTTTTCTCAAAATAATTTGCAAGAAAATTTAGAGAAAATATGGAGAATTCTTAGGGAGAAGATCAGAGAATAACGTTATGTATATTACCTTACGAAAAAACCCATTCTATATAAAATAGAATCAACCGTCGCATAAAACCGCAAAACGGCAAGAGGCGCGGGCGCTCCACCGAGAGGAGCAGGCGCTCCTCTTCTGGAATCTCAACTTTCTGATTTTCCAGAAAGTTGACGCGATTTTGTCGCGATTTAGGCGCGGGCCGCGCCTAATTGTGGCGTGGGCGCGCCACCTGGAGGAGCGGGCGATCCTCTAAAGAATTGCCAGATTTCCAGAAACTCTTCGCGGTTTATGCGCGGTTTTGTCGCAGGTCGCGCCTAGCTGGCGCGAGCACGATTCCGTAGAGCGAACGCTCCACTCCGACACTCTAAATTATCAACAGTTTCAAGGTTCAGTTAGGTGGGTTTTTTGGTGGCTCAGGTGTTTCAAGGTTAACTCGGGTGGGTTATTCGTTGGCTTGGGGTGCCAACGGTGGGGATGGGATGGGTTAGATGGTGGTGAAATCAATTTTTTTTTTTTTTTGTGGTGTTATAATAAAAGTTTGAGATTTTGTGGTGTTATAATCCATTTTTTGTGAAATTTGTGGTGCTATTTTCTAATTTTTCCTTATTACTTCCTCCGTTCTATTAATATTGCAACAAGAATGAAATTACGCATCCCAAAACACATTTTATATGCTAAATATCTATAATCGTGTAAGAGTAAAAATTATAAAAAGTTGATATTGTGAAAGTATTTTATGAGACGAATCCAACAACATCCCACATGACTATATTTTGCTTAACGTATAAATCATATTATATGGTCAAACAAGAGTGATGAATAGTACAAAAAGTCCATTGTTGCAATATTAATAGAACGGAGGAAGTATTATAATTGTTAAGTGTTGTATTGACCACATAGAATACTACACTAGTTTGCAACATCATTTACACACCTCTTTTCCAAAAAGCTCTTACAATTAATTTTTCGACTCAAACAGTCAAACTAATGTTTCAATCCATTCTTAATTAAAGACTTTCACATGAGGTTTGTACTTAGTCAAATTTCTCTTTTTGGCTCAAACATCTCTCATTCAAACAACCTTTATTCCCATGTGTGTACTAAAACCTATCTCCCCTATCATCATGGTTATTAAGCTCTAAAATCTAATATTGTATTAATATAAGATTCAAGTTTTTCTATAACACGGTTATCAAGCTTTAAAATTTCATATCAACTTGTGATGGATGATTGAAGTATATTTTAATTTATGGTAATTTTATATCAAAATAACATTGGAGTAGTTTTATTAGATTTCATATCAATAAATTTGAAATTGTCCCACTATAAATTGGAGTAGTTTTTTTTTTAATAGAATTAGATACAAAATATAAAATAGAAAGAAAATGTCAAAATTCCAATATATTCCATAAATAATAGTAGTATTTGATAAAATATATAGTAGATTAATGAATTAAGAAGTAATAGAAATTTCGTTGTTCAAAGAAGGTGTTTTTAGAACAACGACAAGAGTTTGAATAGGAACTAGGGCTGCAATGTTGAAATCCATCTACAAAGAGGCTGAGCATCAAATATCGACATATTACATTATCATTATGGTCATGAGTATCCAAATAACAAACTACATACTTCTCGTAAAACATTCTTTATACTACTCATCACTTGATTTAAATATCGACATATTGAAAAATATAATTATAATCCAATACAAATACTCTTATCACATTCATACATTATTACTCCATATTCCATAATATCATAATGCCTCGTGAGAATGTATTTGGAGTTGTCCACTCAAACGTGCATACGTAGTTTGTAGACCCAGTACGTAGCACTAATAAACTATCAGTCCAAAATGCTAACACATCCACCAATGATTAAAACTACAATTAGTAAATCATCAATATTCTCTTATTCCTCATCGTCTACCAAACAAACTTATAAAATGTACCAACCTACTTATACAAATCCATATATATAAACTATATTCACCCAAAACCAAACCATTACCAATTTACCATATTTTTATTGAAAAAAATGTTATTTAGTTGGTAAATTACGTCCGTATTCTTCGCTGACTAAGTGTCAAGAAATAAAAACCAAAACCTTTATTTTGAACAACTCAAAAAGCACCCCTTTTTCTTCTCTGGTGCTGACAGTCTAGCATGGCCCTTCTTCTACGTAATTATACTTATTAGAGTATCATTTTACTTCCATTTTTATTTCCTTAATTATCACATTTTTCATCAACCATTCCCTTTTTCCTTTTTTCTAGCATATAAATTTCCATTTTCATCTTATTTTCTCTAATAGAAACTCTTAAACTTGTATCATTATAAATCTCACTTCTCAAAGTTCTCATCTTTTTTCTGATTCAGATCATAAACCATCAAAAATCCAATCTTTTTCCATCTTTATTCACAAAATCAGAGGATTTTCTGAAAAAGATTGAAACTTTATGATCTTTTTAGATTAATTATGGAGTAATTAATCATAATGTAAGATCAGAAGCAATGTGGGCAGATAATTTCAACATAAACTGGTATGCAATCTCTACTATATGGGTGATCATGATCTTAAATTTATCAATTTTTTCTTCATTTTCCTTAGCCATAAATAATATTACACACATTAGTGATAATAATCCTACTTATTTAGATGATTATCTTTATAATTACTCCACAAAATCATTACCCAAAAAGCCTCACACAGGTGTTCTGTACAATATTTCTCTTCCTGCTAATTTTTCTGATATGAAAGTTTCAGTTTTAAGGTTAAGGAGAAGTGCTTTATGGAGTAAAGGTGTAAATTCAAGTAATTTTGATATACCACCAAAAATAACCACTATACCTTATGTGAAAAGATTGGAAATCATGTATGAAAACTTGGGGAATTTATCATCTCATTACTACGAATTACCTGGTTATACATTTCTTACAAAAGTCATTGGACTCGCGGTGTATAATGCATCGGATTCTAGTGAAGGAACGAGCTCGAAAAGGCTTAATATCACCTTATTAGTAGGGGAGTCAATTAAGGTGAAGTTTTCTCAAGGGGAAGTTTTATTACAAGGGAGAAATAGTAGTGATGTAAAAAATAAGCTTAAAAAGTGCGTTAGATTTGATCCATTGAGTGGTTTAGTTGAGTTGCGAGATATGTTAAGGCCTAATGTTTGCTTGTCACAAGGTGTAGGGCATTTTGCTATAGCAATGCCTAAAGTTAATGACTCGATATCACCTTCACCTCTATCTCCGCCTTTACCTAGACTTTCGCCATTGTTCCCAACCTCTCTAGGCCACAAAAGAAGAGAAAGGAAGAAAATCATCGCGTTGTGGGTGTGGTGGGTGGTTGGATTCGCGGGTGGTCTAGTTGGTTTGATGTTGTTAGCTTCGTGTTTAGTACTTGGTTACAAAACATATTGTTCGCGAAAGATTCAAAGTATGGAAAGAACATCGGAGAAGAGTGAGTCTCTTAATACAAAATGGATTGGCAATAGTAAGTTTCCTTTGGCTCCGGTGTCTAGAACTCAAGCAGTCCTTGAAAATGACTTTGCTCCTTGAGAATGATAGTAGTAAGTTTAATTAATTTTCATATTTTTCTCAATTTTATTTCATTTGTTTCTTCTATATATTAGTTTAATTTAAATACATGTACAATTTTTTTAGCATGTGAAACTGTAAATTATTCATATGTATTAAAGGAGGGTTACTTTTATTTTACCTATATCTGCTTACTTTCATACTTAGCTTGTGAAATTCCCTTGATCTTCTTGCATTATCAAAAGAGACTAGATTCTTTAACAATCCATCATTCATTATGTTCATGATAAGTATATTAATCGAACCGAAACCGGCAGCTTAGCAAAAACAAAAATAATCAGTTTGGTGGAATACACCCATCATTTACAGCATATGCACCAAAGAAGTTATCTGGAAATTTCAAAAGGAGACAAGCATATTATTGTCCACTTAGTCTATGATGACTTTGAATAATTATGGTGAAATAAACTAGTCATGTTGACAAAAAATATTTAAATCCTTCAACAACTTCCAAGGACAAATCTTGGAAAGATTATTTGTACTACCCAAATTCATCATTGCTAATTCAATTTGATGCTATCTATTATGCACCAATTTATCTGGCCAAACATAACTAGTACTACTACTAATACTAATCTAAGAAATGGCCAGCTTAGCTACTGCAATTTATCCGATGGGGTGGAGGTCACAAACGCGATTTAGAGGGAAAGGAGGATCGAATATAGAGCCATTAAGAATAGATAAGGTGACAATCCTATTCGCGACTTCAGTAGCATGTATGCCATCCCAACTTACATACTTGCTAGGATCTTCACAAGCTGTTGCTGTTAATGTGCTTCCATTTATGTTTTTGGTATTCCCACAAAATACCTGAGGGTTGAAATTGTAAGGTCCACCCCCTTGACCACAACATGCTTTAGTTCCATACTTCAGGCCTGTTGTTACACATGACAAATAAAGACATTATTGCCATAAAAAATCATTATTTCTTTAATTAAATTATTCTATTAACCAAAGTTCAAAGTAAGAAAGAAAAAGAAAAGCTCCTTTTTTTCTCTCAAGGTAGGGTTATCTACAAAGTAGTTTGATTTAAGAATAGATGCTAATTAATAATGTGATTATAATGATTAGACATTTACAAGCATTTCTTACAAAGTGATAGTAATATACAGAGTATCAGTCAATTTGTAAAGTAGTTACATCAAGGTGAATTTGGTGAAAGTTAGACTATTAGCTAGTTACTTGATAAAGTCGGTCTTGGAAGTGGTACCTAAGCTAAAGATCGAATCCCGTCTATAACATCATATATCCTACATGATTGACCAATATTGTTCGATTCTTAAAATAGACAGGTGATTATATATTTGGTAGTTATGAAGTCATGCTCGTGATTGAGATCAACCAGATTAATGCCATTATAGCTGATGCAAGCTTACTTTATTCCCATAAACTTATCAGGTTATATTACTCAATAATTAATTATATACTGATCATTGCTAGCTGCCTTAATCATCATAATTCATAATCTAACTCATTATCTAATTAGCCATCATATTATGACTTGTCATGACACCTAATCATAATCTATATATAAAGTAATGATTTAATTAATCATTTTAATCCATAATATCTCTCTAATCACTTCTTAATAACTTAACATGGCATAAATGAGTAATACCATAAGTTAAAGGGTGCTGGAAGAGGTCAAGCAATACAGAGTGAGTATCCACATAGATAATGGAAGCATTAGGAAGAACTGCCCTGGTTTGTTGGATTGCATTCTTGAGCATGTCATTGTAATCTTTCACTGCGTTGTTGTAAGAGATCATGCAACCGAATTCGTCGATATCCGAGCTTTCGTGTGGGAGCTCCACCAAGAATGCTGGGTAACAACCAATTGGTGCTAGATTAAGCACCCAAAATGTTCTTCCTCCTATACCATATAGTTCCTGGAATTTTATTTCATATACTTCAGAATTAAAACTCAAAAAAATTGATAATTGGGCCTTATATATGGGCCTAAGTCTTAATAATCAAAATGACGCCAAGGCCCAATAACCCAAAGAGAGATTAGATAATGGGCTGACCTTGATAGTAGAAGCAATCTGGGAAATCACTTGAGGTAAAAACTGCTTCACTCCACTGATGCCAAGGTTTGCTAAATTTCCAGTGAAGTCATTTTGACCAATATAGAATGTGTAAACTGCTTTGCTAAATATGCTTATTGAAGGAAGAGGTGTTGATACTAGCAGAAAAGTTTCAATTAGCACTCAATATAACATACGACACGTAAAATTCTACTAATACATTAATATCAAAAGTTGTTACTCCCTTTGTCCCTTCTTAACAAGCTAGCTTTCTAGTATAAATTAGCCCATATCAAAATAATACGCCACTTTTTTGAGGAAAAAAAAAATGGCCACATATTTACGTGTATACTATACTAGTATACTACTACTGTTAGAATATAGTTGTTATATTGGGAAAAAGAAATATAATGAGTCATGAGAAAGTGTCAAATAATTATATTCCTACCATTAGTGGAAGTAGAGTGGGAAATTTCATGAACTCTGGATTGTAGCTCTTTCATTTGGTTGAGTTGAATGGCCAAAGAGAAAGGGCTGACACCAGTGACGAACAAGGAAGTGTTTGGCAACCTTACTGTAGATGCCGCTGTTGCAAAGTTTGCTCCATGTCTGTAATCAGCTCCAATTGACTTCAAGTATGGGCTTACAAATGGTATCCCGATAGCTTGTGCTGAAAAGAAAAAACATATAGAAAACATGTCTATTATACACTCGAGTGTACCTAAAAATACTTACACTGACACATTAAGTTATAGAATTCTCATATACCTTTTACAACATGAAGTCGCTAAATTTAAATCCACATTCTAATAATGTGTATCATGAAACAAATTAAATCTAGTGAACTTACCTAGGAAGTCAATAATGACCCTTCCATCAGAAGCTCTACCAACAGGTTTCTTGAAAAAAGTCATCCCAGACGGCCCTCTTTGAGATGGAAATGCAGCAAAGAAACCTCCAGTATCGGTATTCGAATCCCCAAAGTTGAAAATTCCCTCTATGTCACATTTACCTTCACAAAAACCGGCCCTCAACACCGCCACCACTACCACCACCACAACCACCAACACGCGACCCATTATTGTGCCTAAAACAGACCAAAGACTAATGTTATGTGACAAACAACCAACTATATATCTAGCTTTAACAATTTATGTTACCCCTAGGAAAATAATGATGGTAAGGACCATAGAAGCACTTCTACATATATGCATGCTTTGTGATCAATTGAAATTTTGATACTATTTCTGCTAGCATGCCTGCAATTTATTTTTATGAAACTTTTAATCTGTGGACCACCACAAAAACATACTGGTAGTTTGGTACCATGAATTTTGGTCTCCTGGTGGATGATAATTGATAGGTGAATGGTAATCTTGGACATGTTTTTGAGTTTACCTCTAGATTTTTTCTCCGAGTTTATGGATCCTAAACTCTTGGATTTTATGCATCATTCAAGTTGCATTGCCAATCATCTCAAATTCGAAAATTTAATCATCATGAGCTTATAAATTGCGTGTGTTCTCTCCGCCTGAAATTAATAGCTGTTAATGCAGTTGTAAATTGTTCAAAAATAATTGATACATATCTTAAAACAACAATGGTTTAATTTGTGCTCGTAATTGAATATATATCCTTACTCGGATTAGTGAAGATTGAGATGATAAAAGTAACAAATTATTATAATTGGTCTATGTGTACAGATCGATTTTGAATAATATGACAAAGTATTGATGTCTATGCAATATTGCAATTCATACAATTTTGAAGGGGTTTTTTTGAAGATTTTAAAAAAATAAAAAGGTTACGTAAGAATTAGGAATAGGAACTGAAAATTTATTCTCTCTTTAATTAGGACTTTTAGAAGACCTAACTTTGTGTTTAATTACTAATTTTGTAATAGTTGGGCTTGGGCCCAACATTAATTAATATTCGATCTAGGTCTTGTCTATAACTCTATATCTAGCCACTTGTGATGGATGACCGATGAGTGTTTACGAGACTATGATAGTGTGTTTTTCACCGCAAATTATTTTATGAGCTTCATAAAAACACACTAAAGCAATGCTCCCGTAGATGTGACATCATGCTAACACAAGATATGAACCATTTAGCAATACCATCAAAGTTTTTTTTCCATGCCTTTTTAGTTTTTACCGAGCATATAATTGGTTTTGCGATAAAATTTGTTTGTTGGTTATGTTTTTGTAGACTTTTCTCAATTGAACAAAAATATTATTGTCGTATTCCGTTTATGAAAATATCATAAAAAGAACTCTTTTTATTTTTATTTAAGCATTCAAAATTGGCTTTTGTACCATTTACATATAACACTTTAATAGATATTTATGCTTTATATATAAGAGTAAACTTGTTAAAATCGTTTCAATGTATAATTTTCGAATAAATTTATTACAATTTACACTCCCTCCGTTTTTATTTAAGTGTCTCAATTTGACTTTGGCAATATTCACATGCACTGCTATAACCAATGTTTTTGTTTATACTTTCATCCGTTTTATATTAGATGCATCACTTTTGAATTAACGGACTCTTAGGCAAATTTGGAGTAGAGAGAGATAGAGAAAATTTATTGACTAAAAGAGAAAGTTATGCATTTAAATTAAAACTTCCATATATAGAAAGTGATGCATCTAATAAAAAATGGAAGAAGTACTTACAATTAAATATAGTCATGTAACATGTTAATACTTATTAGAATCGTCTAAATGTATAATTTTTATGTATCAACTTTTTATAATTTATACTTATGGATAATAAAAAATATTGATAGTCAAAGTTATGCATTAGCAAATCAGCTGGTTAAAATGTTGCACTTATATTTAAAAAAAAAAAAACAGGGAGTGTACACATTAATAATTAAATATATTGATAGTCGACTATCATTGGCAAAAATGCCGATTAAAGTGATGAATATAAAAAAATTAAAAAAAATAAAGAAAGAAATAGAAGGATTACATTGTTTCCGCCCTTATTAGTAAATATATTATGACAAAATACTATATTGTCCCTCAAATTGTCCTTTCATGACCCTACTCCCTTCTCTCTCCAAACACTTAGAAGGGTTGTGTCACGTTTTTAACGTTCTCTCTCCTTTATCTTATAGAAATATAGAATGTGCTAGTTAGAAATTAGAATTTACATGCATTCCACTTTCAGAATATTTGACATACTTTTCTCTTTTGATTGTTCAAGAATAATTGACACACTAGCATAAATAAAAAGAGACCACAATTATAAAAATGTATTTATCTCACATAAACTCACTGACTTTAGTTTTCATTAAACAGCTAAAGAATACTAGTACATGCTAGGGGTGAGCATTACCGGGTACCTGGTACATTTTAGAGGACCCAGTCCCGAAACCGGTTGTACCGGGTAGCCAAATCTTAGACCCGGTCCCGGAACCGGTTGCACCGGGTAGCCAAATTTCAGAACTGGTCCCGGAACCGTTCGGAACCGGTTCCAAGACCGGGTACCCGGTTCTTCAACGGAGATACAACCAGATGTACGGTGCTCGATGCGAGTTCTTCGAGTGCAGCTCGGCGATGCTCTTTCAGGCGACTAGGCGAGGGGGTGGGGATGTGAGTTTCAGCGGGGAAGGGGACGAAGTGTGCGGTGGAGAAGGTAGGGTTAGCGGTGAAGGGAGATGGGAAAGGGAGAAGGGGAGAGAGAATATGGGGAGGAATAGGAAGAAGAGGAGGAGGAGGTTGAAGAAGTGTTGGTGAAGACGATCGAATCCACTGAATCCCGCCATTAATGGGTTGCTCAAGCTTTTCCTGTTTCAATGGAGATTGGAGAAAAGTTTTTCCGGGGAGGGGGAATTTGGGGGATTTGATTTTGGAGCTTTGGCCAGCGAGACAACGAAGAAGATGAGGATCTGGAGGAAGAGGAAAGGGAGGAGAGAGAAAGAGAGTGGATGTCTGGGTTTAAGATCAGAGATTCAGAGTGGAGTAAGAGGAAAATAAGAAATTAATAACTTAAAATTAAATAAAAAAATTAAAGATATCAAACAAACGAGTACCGGGTCTAAATTTTCGGGACCCGGGTCCGAATTTTTGGACCCGGTCCCAAAACCGGTGAGGTCGGTTCCGGGTCTGGACCCGCCGGGTCCGAAACAGTTTCGGGTCCGATACCGGATACCCTGGGTCTTTGCTCACCCCTAGTACATGCTAAAGAGTAAAGAGAACATATCAATTCTTAAAAAAAAAAAAAAAAAAAAAAAAAGGGAAAAAATAAAAGTATAGCACCTTATTGGTGGAGAGAAAAAATGGGTTTTTTGGGCCAAGATTAACATATTCTAAGGTCCAAAGCTATCTAATGGGCCAATAGACATCCATGCAGCCCACCTAATCCATATACGACGGGTCGACGGCTGAACGAAGTGAGTGTATCAATACGATTTAAATTCTACTGTACTTTTTTCCATAGGGGTATAAGTATAAATACGCTAAAAGTTAAGGACAATTGTGTAAAATAGGTTTGAATATTCAACCATTTACAAATTTTCTAACAAAAATAAATAAATATAATACCGTAAAAAAAAAAATTGAAGAAGATTCCCCAATATGCAGATCTGTGAGATCTGATGAGGAAAAATGGCACCCCTTGCTTTTTCAAAATGCTTAGGGTCCACGTCATACTGGGCCCCATAATTAGTTGCGTATAAGACCCTGCATCTGCACACACGTCACCCTGTCTGTTTGAACCGCCGCGTCTTTTATTACTTTTTTATTTAAAGCTGCTACATCAGCTAACTAATTTCGCATTTTTGGGCTTTCTTTTTCTTTTTTCTTTTTTCTTTTTTTGCGGGTAAATTAAAATTGTTGGGGTAGTCCGTACTCAAATTTATACAGGAGGTGTTCAGCAAAATATAGCTATGAAGGTAGCGGTTGGTTGTGTAAGTAGTTGTTAGCTATGAAGACAGATAATTTAGGTATCATCATATGAGTAGTAGTTGACTAGTTGTTACATATAAAAATCAATATTTTTTTCTAAAATTATAAATTAAATTTTTAACAACTACCTCTAACTTTAAAAACTAATATTTCTAACTTTTGATAAAAGTTACTTCCACCACTAAAAATTATCCTAACCACTACATTGTCAAACACTCTTATTTTTTATTAAGTAGTTATTTAATTTAGTAAAACCACTAAATCTAGTCAAAAACTACTGCTGAATACACCCTAAATATAGAGTACTGTAAGGAATATAACATATTAACCATTCAGGTAGTATATAATGATTAATGATCAATTGACAACAATAACAAAGAAAAGCTCTAAAAATGTATGTCAAGTATGATTCCATAATCTAAGTCGGTTTAAAACGTTAATCTGTGACAAATATTTATTGAAGTATCTCTATAAATTGTAATAACTTTATTTTTAAGAGCTGATCTGTCAAGGGTAGTATTGTACAATATAGTACGAGTATTGTACAATTTATTTACTGCGCATTGACTCTTGCTACATATGATATTGATAAAACAAAAACTACGAACTATTAACTTTGTCTATGCAATACCTCGAACTCATTATATATATCTGGATTTTTTTTTCATGAAAAAGGCATATTTATAAAAATTGACTACGCTATTGACTTCTAGCTTGTGGTTGTGAGAGACTAAGACCTTGTTTTACTCAACTTGTTTTTCTTGAATGAACTAATCAAGATTGATATTTATTGATGTTTACTTGTAACTAATAAAACTAATTTAACTTATCAAACTTATTTATCAATTGACTTATATTTATCTTAGAGTTGTTGGCGTTTAACTATTAAAATATATTTCACTAAACAAAACAAATTTCTACTTAATTACTTTAGTGGACTAAATCTAGATTACAAATAAATATTTTGTTTAACTTTTGTAAAATAAACAAAATAAAATTTATCACAAACTACTGCGTCAATCTAGCCTGACCATATGTTTCGTCAGTCCAGCGTGTTTTTGCTTTATACCAATGATCGCTCCCATTGGCGGCGTTATTATTGGCGGTGGTATCGTCGACGGCGAGAAACTCGTTGATTATATTTGTCCATAATTTATGCTTGAATTGGTTAAAATGCCCAAAAAAATCGATTTGGGGCTTTCTTGTGTGATGTATAATTGTTGAAATTTATTGTCCTATATGATTGTATGTTGAATTATGAGTGTTTTGATAACAAATGCATGTATTTTGCTTGAGAAATGAGCATGTTATGTTATACCCATGAGCTTAACACGGGACCTTCAATGGTGGTTCCATCATTGTTGACCATTTAATTATTTTTATAAAATAAATTTTATTGTCTAGATTATATCATCTATAATAAGTTGGATAATATCATTTATAAGTTGGATGATGTCCTCTAAAAGTTGGATGATATCCTCTATAACATACATGATGTGATATTATGCATATCAGCCAACAAAAGGAACATATTAGATAACAAATGAAGCATATCAGCCAACAAAAGAAACATATCAGCCAACAAAAGATAGATATCAGATAACAGATTGAACATATCAGCCAACAAATGAAGCATATCAGCTAACAGATTGAACATATCAGCTAACAGATTGAACATATCAGCCAACAAAAGGATGAAATCAACAAACAAAAGCAAAAGCCAACATATTGTACATATTCTCTATCAAATAATATATATCCTCCAACAAACTTTACGTATCCTCTATTAAGTAACACATATCCTCCAACAAATTGTACATATCTTCTATCAAATACTACATATCCTCCATCAAATACTACATATCCTTT